GGACCCTTTGGGACCCTTTTGCAGCAATTACTGCCTCAATGTGGCGTGGCATGGAAGCTATCAGCATGTGGCACTGCTGAGGTGTTATGGAAGACCAGGATGCTTCAATAGCGGCCTTCAGCTCTTCTGCATTGTTCGGTCTCATGCCTCTCATCTTTCTCTTGGCAATGCCCCATAGACTCTCTATGGGGTTCAGGTCAGGCGAGTTTGCTGGCCAATCAAGCATAGTAATCCCACGGTCATTGAACCAGGTTTTTGGTGCTTTTGGCAGTGTGGGCAGGTGCCAAGTCCTGCTGGAAAATGAAGTCAGCATCCCCATAAAGCTCGTCTGCGGAAGGAAGCATGAAGTGCTCCAAAATCTCCTGGCAGATGGTTGCGTTGACCCTGGACTTAATGAAGCACAGTGGACCAACACCAGCAGATGACATGGCTCCCCAAATCAACACAGACTGTGGAAACTTCACACTGGACTTCAAGCATCTTGCAGTGTGTGCCTCTCCATTCTTCCTCCATACTCTGGGTCCTTGGTTTCCAAATGAGATGCAAAAGTTGCTCTCATCAGAAAAGAGGACTTTGGACCACTGAGCAACAGACCAGGTCTGTTTTTCTTTAGCCCAGGTAAGACGCTTTCTGATGTTGTTTGTTGTTCAGGAGTGGCTTGACAAGAGGAATACGACATTTGAAGCCCATGTCCAGGATCCGTCTGTGTGTGGTGGCTCTTGATGCACTGACTCCAGCCTCAGTCCACTCCTTGTGAAAGTCCCCAACACTTTTGAATGGCCTTTTCCTGATAATCCTCTCCAGGCTGTAATCATCCCTGCTGCTTGTGCATCTTTTTCTTCCACACAACTTTCTATTAATGTGCTTTGATACAGCACTTTGGGAACATCCAACTTCTTTTGCAATTACCTTTTGAGGCTTTCCCTCCTTATGGAGGGTGTCAATGATGGTTTTCTGTACAACTGTCAGGTCAGCAGTCTTTCCCATGATTGTGATTCCTACTGAACCAGACTGAGAGACCATTTAAAGGCTCAGGAACCCTTTGCAGGTGTTATGGCTTAATTAGCTGATTAGAGTGGGACACTTTGAGCCGAGAATATTGCACCTTTTCACAATATTCTAATTTTCTGAGATGGATTTGGGGTTTTCATGAGCTGTAAGCCATAATCATCACAATTATGACAAATCACGGCTTGAACTATCTTGCTTTGCATGTAATGAGTCTATCTCATATATTAGTTTCACCTTTTAAATTGCATTACTGAAATAAATGAACTTTTGCACGATATTCTAATTTTTCGAGTTTCACCTGTATATGTGACACCATCATGGAGTGTGGATCGTATATATGTGTCACCATCATGGAGCGTGGATTCTATATATGTGACTCCATCATGGAGTGTGGATTGTATATACAGTTGTGTCCAAAATTATTCAACCCCCAATGCTGTAAAGGGGTTTAGGGACTATAGTGTACATTTGGAATTGTATTCAGAATCAAATCCTACAAGGACGTTGTAACTACCCAAATGCAACTAAAATGACATCAATTGTTTATGTAATACAGTAGTAAATGGTTCTTATGTGGTTTCTTCATTGCCACAATTATTCAACCCCTTAAAGACTACCACTCTGAAGAACAGAGGTTCATACAGGTGCTTTCCATCAGGTATTGAAAACACCTGTGGATGTCACCGAGCAGCAATCAAGCATAATAAGCACCAATTAGGCAGCTTTAAAATGACTGTGATACTCAGCTCCTTCTAGACATTTACTGGTGTGGTTACAAACATGGTGAAGGCAAGAGAATGGTCCAGGAAGACAAGAGAAGAGGTGATTTCTCTTCACAGGAAGGGCAATGGCTATAAGAAGATTGCAAAGATGTTAAACATACCAAGAGACACCTTAGGAAGCATCATTCGCAAATTCAAGGCAAAGGGCACTGTTGAAACGCTACCTGGTCGTGGCAGAAAGAAGATGCTGACTTCGACTGCTGTGCGCTACCTGAAGCGTAGAGTGGAGAGAAGTCCCCGTGTGACTGCTGAGGAACTGAGAAAAGATTTGTCAGATGTGGGTACAGAAGTTTCAGCCCAGACAATAAGACGCACACTGCGTAATGAAGGCCTCCGTGCCAGAACTCCCAGGCGTACCCCCTTGCTGTCTCCAAAGAATAAGAAGAGTCGACTGCAGTATGCCAAAAGCCATGTGGACAAACCACAAAAGTTGTGGGATAGTGTTCTGTGGACTGATGAAACAAAATTAGAACTGTTTGGGCCCATGGATCAACGCTATGTTTGGAGGAGGAAGAACAAGGCCTATGATGAAAAGAACACCTTGCCTACTGTGAAGCATGGTGGAGGGTCAATCATGCTTTGGGGCTGTTTTGCTTCTGCAGGTACAGGGAAGCTTCAGCGTGTGCAAGGTACCATGAATTCTCTTCAGTACCAGGAGATATTGGATGGAAACGTGATGCAGTCCGTCACACACCTGAGGCTTGGGAGACGTTGGACCTTTCAACAGGACAATGATCCCAAGCATACCTCCAAGTCCACTAGAGCATGGTTGCAGAGGAAAGGCTGGAACATTTTGGAGTGGCCATCGCAGTCACCAGACTTAAATCCGATTGAGAACCTCTGGTGGGACTTAAAGAAAGCAGTTGCAGTGCGCAAGCCTAAGAATGTGACTGAACTGGAGGCCTTTGCCCATGAAGAATGGGCGAAGATACCCGGATCGCTGCAAGACACTTGTGTCAAGCTATGCTACGTTTTTAAAAGCTGTTATAACTGTAAAAGGATGCTGTACTAAGTACTAAGATTGAATGTCACTTGGGGGTTGAATAAAACTGATAATGCTGTGAGCACAGAAAAGACATTTGTGGTTATTTCATTATAACTGTTTTGTTATATTTGTCTGACCTACAAGTGCCTCTTTAATGTAAATGTAAGCAAGATGACTGTGATCAAAAGCAATGTCAAACTGGCCAAAACACTCAATTTCAGTGGGGGTTGAATAATTTTGGACACAACTGTATGTATTGGGATTGTGTTTCTTCTATGTGATGTGATGTGTCTCCTGTCTCCATTAGCAAGCATTGTAAAGTTTCCCACTCGGCTAAATGTTTGTGATGGAGAGTGATGGTGCCTGGGAGATAAATAAATAAGCCGTTTGTCTTGTGTCCTCCTCCTCCCCCCCCTCCATGGTCTAATAGCACGATCCATTTCTGCTGTGTTCTCTACAAAGAAAATAAAGACACCTAGTGGCGGCGGCTCTCCCTCCGAGGACACTGATCACACACACGTGTCATAGGAGAGGAGAGCAGGACAGAGGAGAGGAGAGCAGAGGAGCATCACATCACACTGCTGGATCGCATCCAGCTCCTCTCTGTTTATCCTTAATCCAGGTTTTACTTCTGCTTGCCTGCTAGCTTTTTTTTTTCCACCCCCCCCTCTTGCTCCTCCCTTCTGCAATCCTATATTAACAAGCTGGGAAGAAGAAACACACTTCATTGTTGGCAAGTCCCGATGCCTGTGGGTGAAGAGTGACTGTGCAGCCTGATCGGGGGGCTCGGCCAGGACTAGTGGGCTCTCCCCTCCTCCAGGATCCTATATGCTGGGATCTACTCCCTGATCGTCTCCAATCCTCTACAATCAGCGATCACAAGGGGTGAGCACTTCTCCGAGGAGCCGAGCTGGCCTCATTGTCTTCTCTTGTCTCCTTTTTTTTTTTCTCCTCTTTCTGTTTTTTTTTTTTCTGGAGTCTGCGATGGAAGACAGATGGCAGTTGGTTGCTGTGACGATCTGTACCTCGATAAATAATTCAGCCCATTCGAAAAAGTTGCTGAAATAGTCATGTTACCTTTTCTGTGGCTGCACTCGATGGGGAGCTGTGAGATCAGGGATACAAACTCTTTTATTTGTTTGGATTTTTTATTGTTTTGATTTTTTTTTTTTAACAAAGAGGAAAGTTTAAAAACAGATCTGGATTGCTTTGCAGATTGTTGTCTCAGTAAGTTATCAAAGTAAGCAGTTTATGGACAGTGTTGGTGACTGGGGGTTGTCAACACCCCCCTCCTTTTCTCCTTTTGGTTATATTTTAGGTGCTATGGTTAGTTTTTTATATTGCTGATTTATTGTATAGATGTGTTTATTTTTCATAACTACCCTTTCTATAATCCCACCTAGGCTGCTGCACCCAGCATATGGGCAAGACTTGCAAATGATGTAGTACCTTTGTTTGCATTGTTGCGTGAGACCCTTGTTAACTGCCTGCTTCCTCAGTCCCTGCCCTCTCCAGTTAGTAGATATTTATAGATGTGTCCTTTTTTTTTTTTTTTTTTTTTTTTTTTTTTGTCAATCTGTCATGGCTGAAGTTTGAGATTTATTTTTTTTTCTTTTTTTTCTTTTTTTTTTTTTAATTTTTATTTTAGATCAATGTTGTGATGGGTTACTCTTGAGCTTTTGTTTGTCTTCTTACTCTTAAAGACCACAGTGATGGGTTCTTTTATTAAAGGCTGCTCAATCCAATTTAATGGCAGTGTTTAAGGGGTTGGTCGTAGCTGCGGAAGATTACGGGTACTTAATGTATCGCTGTGAATGTATAACAGTGTTTATAAAATGCAATGTGTCAATGACATTGTTATAGCCATACGTCATGGGGGCTGAGCTTGGCTGATTTAATCCCATCGTGTCAGCAAATGATTTTCGGAGGGTTTTGTCAATTTAAAGGGCATTTAAGGCTTGTAATTTTTGATGAAATGGTAGCAGCTTGAGTGTCCGGGTGCACAATGCAGGGGATGAGATGAACAAGGTCTTCTGAAGACAGAAATGCATCTTGGTGTGTGTGGTACGTGCGCACGTTTATGCAGAAGTGACACTTGCTGTAATGGCTTAATCTATCCTTGCATAAAGTGAATGTGTTCTAGGAAGCCTTGTGTAGATTTCTATTGCTTTCGCTGTGGTCTGCAGAACTAACATTTTATATACTCCTTTCCCAGGTGTGCAATGGCAGACCATTTAATGGCAATGAATCATGGCCGGTTTCCAGATGGAACAAATGGTCTTCACCACCACCCTGCTCATCGGATGGGTATGGGTCAGTTCTCCAACCCACATCACCACCAGCAGCAGCAGCAACAGCAGCATGCCTTTAACAGCCTAATGGGGGAACACATGCACTATGGTGCAGGGAATCTGAACTCTAATAACAGTATCAGGCACGCCATGGTGGCTGGGAATGTAAACGGAGGGCATCCTAATGGCAGCATGGCACCGACAGCAAGATTTACCAGTTCACAATTCATGGGACCTTCTGTTTCAAATCAAGCAGCTCAGCTTACAGCTAGCATGCAGCTTCAGAAACTGAACAATCAATATTTTACGCATCATCCATATCAACATAACCACTATATGCCGGACTTGCATCCTGCAAATCATCAGATAAATGGGACAAGCCAGCATTTCAGAGACTGCAATCCAAAGCACAGCTCTGGTATGCCTCCTTCAGTCAGCCATGTCCCTGCAGCGATGCTGCCTCCTAGTGTCATAGACACGGACTTTATAGACGAGGAAGTTCTAATGTCCTTGGTGATAGAAATGGGTTTGGATCGTATTAAAGAACTACCTGAGCTATGGCTGGGACAGAACGAATTTGATTTTATGACAGACTTTGTTTGCAAACAGCCGAACAGAGTAAGCTGTTAGGACCTTATCTGAGATACAAAAAGAACTTTGAACATTCCTCCATGGACACCAATTCTTGCTTCCAGAATCCACTATTAATCTGTACAGAGTATATATATATATTTTTGTTTTATTTGATCCCACTTTTTTATTTCCCTACTGCCTTGTTTGAGACACTTTCCTGCAATAGTGTGTTTCAGTAAATTTTAGTCGTCTCCTGTCAAAGTCCGCTATTTTATGGTGTTTTGACTCAAGTCCATTTTTCAGTTTTTGTTTTGCTGGACTGCATCAACGTGAAATAGAGCTGATGGTTGCATGATCCTTACAGGCAGGATTGTTACTGCACTAATGCTGCCATGTTGCTTCATTTAATCTATGCATTGCTGTGCACTTTTTATTGTAACTGGAAGTTTTTTGTTTTTAATCAGGGGCCAAGCTTTGGCAGATCAGGAGACGGTTGTACTGATAGAAATGAATTTTTGTTTTTTTCTGCCCCCCTCCCCAATTTTTACCAGTGTTTCACCCATGTACAGAAAAACAAGTGAGGGTGGAATGTAATCAGTGTAACATTTCACAACTGCATTTCCCCAAAAATGTTTGACACTGTGCTAATCTAGTTAATTTAGTTCATGGAAGAATACTACTGTGTTAAAAGCTTTTTAGGAAATTTTGACAGTATTTTTGTACAAAGATTTTTTTGAGAAAATACTTGTTAATTTATTCTATTTTAATTTGCCAATGTCAATAAAGAGCTGCAAAGTGCACCAATCTAATTTTGATGATTTTGTTTTTTAACAGATAAAGAAAAAAATATAGCTTTCAGGAACACTTTAGTATATAGGGCAATTGCTTAAAGGGAATCTGTCAGAGACTGGGAGGCTATTGTTGCTGACCTTTCCTATGAAAAACTCCTTTCCTGGCTGTCATTCTGATGCTTGGGCCTCAATGCTGAAAAGTTCTGACTCCTTGTCTGATAGTTATTTACTAAATGCCACTTCCAGGTCTGGCCCTGACACGTTCTGTAGTTGGCTAAGCAGCAATCCTTTTCAGAAGGTCAACAATAGCAGCCACCTATTGCAGCTTTAATCCAGCTGTTCATAGCTCAGTGAGACTTTCATGCTGGCTTGCTCCCAAGGTGGGAAGTCATTGGCTCCCTAGATCCTCCTTCGGCAGGCCTTTTTAGAAAGAAACATGGTGGTTGTGTTTACAAACTATTACTGAAAATACTAGCTGCTTCCTAATACAGACCTTTTTTTGGTTTAGTACTTTAGAGACACTGACCTGGAACAAATATCCAAACTAGGACTTAATGACTTTAATGACATTTCTTGTTTTGGGGTCAATGGCTAATAGCCTAGAGCATTAAAGCCAGTGGGTCAGCTTAACAGCCAGGAAAACTGGAATCTTTGGAAGATTGGCAATAGAAGCCCCCATATGTTTCCCAAATGGGTTTGCTGAGTGCTCTGAAACACTTGGGGGGATTTCTGGTGCTACAGGCAATTTGTGTTGTGGCTGCCCAGTCACTTGCTGTTTAAAAGGTATCCATAGATGCAAGAAAAGGCCCTGCCTTAACCAGCTGTGATTACATGCATACGGGGAATGAGCAGATGTTGCATAAGAATTGGTGACTAGAAAGTCTTGATTGCTCTGGTTTGCCATAGTGCTGGAAGGTATCTAAGCCTGCTTTCCTCCTTCCCACTCATCTTCATGACGAAGGGTGCCATACTTCATTCAGATATTGAGCCATCGATGGTATGATCATGCCTCTCTGGGAGTCTATAAACTGACTACAGAGTAATTCAATGAATGATCCCTTCTTAGATTTACTAGCAACTTGGTTTGGGTCTACTCTTTTCTCACTGGTGTGAGACGAGCTTTAGACTATTACATAACCGCACAATCAAACTGTGTCTATGGATACTTGATACAGCAGGCACTCACTACCTATTGATCTGGGTAGGAATGAGTGAGTATGGTTATTGGGTTAGATTTTCCCAGCTAACAAATGTTCCAGATGATGCTGGAGGGATGTCTAGTGCAAATCCCTGGTGATACACCAAGTCACCAAGCACCTACTGAACTCACTGGAGAAGGACTTTTCCTACTTTTGCGACCCTGTTTACTATAATGCCTCGTGCACACAGGGTGGTTTTGCAGCCACTTTTAGGGGCGTCAGGTGTGTTTGTGTGTTAGGTTTTTTTTTTGTTTTTTGTTTTTTACAGCTTCCGAATGCCCCTCCATGATATCTTGTGTCCATGCACACAGACTTGGAATTATTCTGGCCAATGAAATGAAATGCCACACAAGCGCTTGACGCCTGTAAATGCACCTAAATGCTTGCAAAAGCGTTAGACACTTTACAAGTATCCAGCATTTTTTTTTTTTTTTTTTTTCTGCCAAAACCCTGTTGCCAACAGGACAAGAGCTTAGAAAGTCCTGTTTGTATGGGGCCTTAATGAAAATGTGGCTCTTTGTAAACAGAATGGTACTTTATATTGTAAAGCGCTGAGCAAACTGTTGGCACTATATAAATCCTGTATAATAATAAGAATACTGTTCTTGCCTTGTGACTGCAAAATAGTCCTTGCTCCACACTTCACAAATCAGTGACAGTGAGGACTGTTGTACTTATGAGATCCATGCAACCATGTAGGTGGAAGTATCCGTGATAGGAAATGTTATGTTTTTTGTTTTCTGATTGTGGTGACAGTTAAATGTTTGCATAAATGGTAAATGCAGTATGTGTAAACTCGATGAGGGTTATTTACTAAAACTGGAGCATGCTAAATCTGGTGCAGCTCTGCGTAGAAACCAGTTGGCTTCCAGGTTTTATTGTCAAAGCTTTGCTGAGCAAGCTGAAATTAAAATATGATTGTAAACCATGCACAAATGCACCAGATTGTGGGTGCTCCAGTTTTAGTAAATCTCTCCCAATATGTGTAAAGATCCTGCACAATGGTTACTTCAGAGAAGGTTACTGGCATGGTGGTATGAATTTGCTGGCATTTCCCTTTTTATATAGGTCATGGTTCTCCTGTTATTAGTGTGATGCCGCTAAACAGTTAAGAGTTGAGTAATGGTCTTGAATTTTCATAACTAATCCATAAAATGGATACCAGTCTTCAGTATTTGTATGAAGTGTATTTTAAGGGCCAATTAACACCTTTGCATGCATGAACACACCTTTTCATGCGTTTAAGTGTTTCATTAAGACAGCCTATTTTGAATAGGATCTGCATGCCTTACACAAAGTAACTTCTATATTTTGACAACACACAGCACCACAAGACTTAATGGTGAATTTAGGCTTGCTGTATATGCATGATGGGGTTCATAACACATTACCAAAAGGCAAAGGTAGGAATCTAGCACAACAATGCCATGGCTATAATTTAAAAAAAGATGTAGTGCTTTTCAGTAAAGCTAGCTATACATTATACAGTTTTCTGTACAATTTCCTTTACATTTACTAAAGTGTAACTAAAGGCAAACTTTTTGTTGGATAGTCAATATGGATTATAACAGTGTGGGTTTTTTTTTTTTTTTTTTTTTATCGCGGTCTGTGCCCCTCTTACAGAGATTCACCCTCTTTGTCCTGATTACCATTGAGTGAAAATAAAAGCCCCAAATTTTGGGTTGTCCCAGAAAAGTAAGAGGGGAAATTTTCCAGTTCACAATAGTTCTGGTGAGCTGGAGGTCCCCAAAAAATTCCCCTTATTTGCACAGATTTTTTCACTTCCTGTTTTGGCTATAGGACAGGGAATGATGGTAAATCTCCCCAATAGGACACAGATGGCAAGAAAAAAAAGAAATCTATGGGTTATAACCCTCCCTTACTCTAGCCAAAACAGCAGAGGAGTTTGCCTGTTCTGTTTTAACCTATCTATTGTAAGGGCCTGCCTTTTTTTATAGATACAATTTGAAAGTGTTTACGTTTGACCTCATGTGGTTTTTGGTAAATGTTAAGGAAACAAATAGAATGTATCGTAACCATTAGTACGCATTAGGATAGGCTCACATGGGCAGATATCTGTGGATAGTTTGCATGCGTTTATAAGGTGGACACAGCAACACACTGTACTATGACCATACACAAACTGGCTGATTATACATGATCCATCTAGTAACTGCTACATCAAAAGAACCATTTTAAATAAATACATGGCAACATTCAAATATCCAAAAAGTAGAGGCCAGCAGCGGATGATGGCTAGAATCCATAGGTTTTTGCTGGTGTTTGTCAGCACTGCCTGTGCACTGTGATCATTTATTCTCTGTACAAATCAATGGCGGCTTCTGTATGCATATACTGCTCATGAGTAATTTCATGTGGCTGGAGCCTTTGACCAACCCTGGATTGTAAGCTCTAATGAGCAGGGCCCTCTGATCTCTCCTGTATTCATTTGTATTGTACTGTCTGCCCTTATGTTGTAAAGCGCTGTATAAACTGTTGGCGCTGTATAATTGGCTCTGACCAGTTTGTGCGGCCAGAATGCCACAGATAAGCCAGTCTTGGTCACACACTGTCTGCATCCAGGGTCCGTCAAAGGCTCTAGTCACATGAAATCACTCATGAGCAGTACATGCAAACAGCAGCAGCACCCCCAGACATTGATTTGTACAGAGTACAAATGTGATCACACATTGTACACTTAAAACCGCCAGCAAGAACCTATGGATTCTAACCATCAGCTGCCCCTGGCCTCGGCTATTTGAATGTTGCCTTGTATTTATTTAAAATTGTTATTTTTATGTAGCAGTTACTGGATGGATCATGCGGAATGTTTTGTTAAAATGACAAATATTTGAAATCTGTTTACTACTACTGACTTCAGTAAAATGAAATGTGGTTGGCTGTTACTTTAGCTTTTGTAACTTGTACTTTTTTCCCCCCCCAATTTTCAGTTTTTTTTTTTTTTTTTTTTTTTTTGAGCAGGCTGCTAAACTTGCTTTGGGAAAAATCTAATCTACTATGCAACACTACTAAAAATAGATTGCAAATGAAAAGGGCAAGTTATGCA